GCCGCGATGTGTGATCGTTTAGTTTTCCACCCCGATTTTCTTTTCAACACACGTGTATGAGTTTACGTATACTAAAGTGAAGTCATTGACTCTTCGTGACACACATTCTATTTGACGGAACTGCACGTCGCGTCGGCTGTTCCATAGACATTCATTTCTTTTTGTAAAATCATATTGTTTTACTAACGTTCTTGTGTAGTGTGCGTTGTTTGGTGTCGTTATCACTGTATCTAGATAAGGCGTCAAGGCAACATCCTTGGGTTCGCGATTCGACAATTGTGTGAATTGTTTTTTTCATAATTCCGCTTTTACAATGAACTTTTTGTTTGTATTCGTCAGACAGACGTCCTTGCTTTTCGGACGATGATCACTTATAACAATGTAAATAATGGACAATTTGTTTAACTACCGGTTTAGCGTAATTTAGAATGAATCTCTATGTATGTCAGATCTAATCTAATCGTAAATATGACCTACATCCTAGCCACAAATGACGAGAAACTGAAAAATAAAATACAATCGAGAAATTCAAATTTTCGAATTTAGATTTTCCAATTCGAATCATAAAACTTTCTCAAGCGATCAAACTAGGTTAAACGGCGTCATGGCTGCAAAAAAGAGAGAAAAATAAAACGCTACACGTCACAAAACGAGTGACGTTTGACGCGCCATATTCGAAATATGAATAATTTCCCGAAACAATCGAAGGAAGATGCGCGCGTTTCACGGACACGTCTGCATTTTATTTATAGACGCGAATGTTTGATTTGTACAGCGACGTAGTTTACCTACATATCTACCGTCGCGGAATGTACATTATATACCATCTTGCACTATGTACTGCGGATACAACAATATAAGCGCTGTCTGTGTGCGTGCCACCGTAATGAACGTTTCTATGTGCTAAGAAACAGTAAAAAGTATGGCGCGAACGGTATGAGCGGCAACGTCGCGTGCGTTCCGAGGCCGCCGCGGTGAAAACAATAGTCTTTTATTATTTAATTTTACTTGAATATATTATTTTAAATGATCATTCTACGCTAGCGAATAATATATTTCGTTAATTAGCCGTGATTCGCATTCGGAAACTGGTTTTTCCGTCACGTAAACAATACCTCGAAACCGACGCCGGTATGCAGTGTTATGAAATTCAATACATACTTTCTTGCTCAAAGATCGATACTAAACGCGTCATCGGGAGCTCTTTAGCGATATTATGAAACGTTCAATTACAAAACCACATTGGGAATTGGAAAGAAATCAATATATCAATGATAAAAAAACAAACAAAGCCAACGAAAATAGCCGGTGGGATGAAAAAAAAATAGTAACCGATGTTGACCTTTTCCAACGCGCCTCGCTAGTAGCGCGGCCAGCTGACGCGACGTTGCCGCACTTCCTGCCGTGCCCTGAACCGTTCACGCTTATCGCCTTTACGGCCACGCTATTAGGCCCATATTCGCATAGCAACGTTAAGTATATAAAGGATTTAGGACGTTTCACAGTACTGGCACTTCCCGCGCGAAAAATTTGAAATGCTTTTATCAGTCGCACTCGGTGATGCGCGCCGTGTAGTAAACTTGAATATTTACTCTGTATTAAATAGTTTTATTTCGTTTGTTTTTAGATTTTATGTGCAATATATGAAAGAATTAGTGTTTTGTATTGAAATAGTTTTTTAAATACAAGTTTACATAACCAAAGTGCCCAAAGTTTAATATAGACTTTATTAGTGTTTACAAAATATTTATTAAAAGTAGTTATTTTAATTGTCTTACTATTTAAAGTTATATAAAAAGTGTGTAAATAAGTGTGAAAATCCAAAAAAAAGCGAAGAAAATCTCAAGAAAATTCAAGTCGAAGTACCAGGAACGCATAGTTGTAAAAGAGTTCACTGCTCCGCGGCCGTACAAGTGTACAAGTGACGCTGTGACGCGATGATGGCGCGGTGACAAAGTGGCCTACATGCCGGTGGCGCTGGGCTCGCTCGGCGGCGAGGGCGAGTACCGCGAGTACGGCCACCATCTCTCGCCGCACCACCCCTCACACATACAGTACCATGAGTACGCGCCGCCGCCGCCGCCGCCGATATACCACCCCATCCCGGACCCCTATTTTAGGTAATCTCTTCACGAATTATTGGCGCCTAGTACTTTGGTAGGATAGAGAGTTGTCTACATTTAGTTGAGTTCTGTCGAAGTTACCATGAGAATGAGTATTGACTTTGAGTACGCCCCGCCACCCATATAAATACATCCACCCAATCCCGGGCCCCTATTTTAGGTAATCTCTTTATGAATTATAAGTACTTAGTACTTTAGTAGGATAGACGAAATCTTTAGCTATATTGACTTGACTGATTTTGGTCGAGTACAAAGTTACACATGTTACCATGAGCCGCCTGCAATATAGGTAAGTACCAATCCTAAATAGGAAATTTAGGTGGGGTGATTAATAGATTTTTGGTGCTCCATCGTAGACCGCATCATCGGTTACCACCAGGCGAAGTAGTTTCAAACGTCGGCCCATCAAATAAAAAAACAATTTTAGGTAACTAATAAACCTCTTCGTGGATTATGGGCGCCTAGTACTTTGGTAGAATAGAGAAACCAATGCAGATACTTGGACGAAATTAAGTGTCATGTAGTTGCGTCTTATAAGGTTACAAGCGCGGATGATACCGGTGCGACTTCCAAGTCAGAATCTGGGTTTTTTTTATTAGTACATTTTTTAAGTTTACCTGTAATTTATGAAGTCAGTTAAACAACTGCAGTGTGCAACAGTTTCATTTTACGTTAGCCTAAGAAACGGACCGCGACTGTAGCCAAATGCCATTTAGCGCTTGTCTACATGTAGAATAGGAAACCAAATTATATGGAATTGACGTAAATTTTGACACTTGCCAGTGTCGTCCCCATACATTTTGATTTCTACTCTCTCTGTAGACAAGCGCTAAAGTGGCGTTTGGCTAAAGGCCCCCTGAATTGATGAACTCAATGAAAAGCCTTATATTTTAACATTTTTATAAAGAAACGAACTTGGCTGATTCCAAGTTCGTTGTACTAGTAGTCAAAATTATTTGACTACTAGCAATAGATTTTGTAGGTATATACAATAGCAACACAGTTTGAATGAAAGAAGAAAAAGCTTTTCAAGTTTCCCTGTGCGTACTGCTGAGGAGTGGGATTCTTTGCCAGAGTCTATTTCCTAAAGGGTATAACCTGGGTGTCTTCAAGGCCCGAGTGAATAGGTTCCTTATGGGACGACGTACTCCATCGTAGACCGCATCATCGCTTACCTGGCGAGATAGTGGTCAAACGTCGGCCCATCAAATATATGTAAAAAAAAATAGTAAGAAATAATGTGAAGAAAATATGAAGTGATGACCAGTTCGCATTTGTATTAATGACATCTCATGGCTAGTAGCTGCCATCGCAGCTACTAACTAATAAGCTAAAGAAGTATGTAAGGGTTGTAGTTGTCGGAGCTCTGTAGTTTCTACTTTTGCTTTTTCCAGGACGGCCTCTATAGGCGTTTACTACTATTACTTTTGTGAAATCTTAAATCTGTCCCACAGCTTAGCAAAGACCTTTGTTCACATGGAGAAGGAATGAGCAATAATCACTTCGCTTGCTTAAACCAGATTGCTAATTATAACTTACAATTAGAAATTATAAGTCCAGCAGCTGTAGCCAAATGCCACTTAGCGCTTGTCTACATGTAGAATAGAAAACCAAATTATATGGAACTAGCGACCCGCCCCGGCTTCGCACGGGTGCAATACACATGTATTATTATACGTATAAACCTTCCTTAAGAATCACTCTATCTATTAAAACAACGTCATCTAAATCTGTTGCGTAGTTTTAAAGATCTAAGCATACATAGGGACAAACAGACGGCGGATAGAGACTTTGTTTTATACTATGTAGTGATTGACGTAAATTTTGACACTTCTCAGTGTCATCCCGATACATTTAGTTTTCTACTCTCTCTGTAGACAAGCGCTAAAGTGGCGTTTGGCTTAAGGCACAGTTTCCGCACGCTGTTTTCCTTCAGGTGTTTAAACTGTCAAACACCAAGCGGTCACCGGTGACCGCAACCTATTGTTCTATAATTGTGTCTATAATGACGGTGCTCGACGAGTTAAATATATTAACTTGATAAAATCACATTGGTAGGTACTTGCAATAAACAAAACTAACTAATTAAAAGAAAAATCTTACAACTGCCATAGCTTTTCTCATTCCGAAGAGTAAGGCTTCAGGGTGACGTAGTTATTACATCAGAACGATTTGTTTGTCGAACGGATGGATATCTATAGCAAAATATTTGTAGGTCAATATGTCTGGGTTTCAAAATGGAACCATTTCTAAGTACTAAGACATCATACTTGCAGATGGAAGCAGGAGTAGGAATGGGTGGGGTTTAGTCAGTAAGAGTCTGACACTCCCTCTCGCCTCGCTTAATGCGGGAGAAGTTATTGGATGATTTTCCTTCCTCAGTACTAAGACAGCAGTATAACAAAATAATATGTCAGTTTAAGTGTGGGCTCGACCGGAGTGATACCACGGCCAGGAAACCGACGTAAAATAACGCCCAATCCCCGAATCCTCGAATTCATAATCCTTAAAAGGCCGGTAACGCATTAGTAATACCTCTGGTGTTTCGGGTGTCTATGGGCAGCGTCGATTGCTTACCATAAGGTTATTACTTCTGCTCGTTTACCGGCTTATTCCAACTCGTGACACTTTACAGTCCACTGCTAGAACATGGGCCTCCTCTAGAGGTACATAAGAGGGTTGCTAATCAGACGGGTTGGGGATCGCAGTTCAAAAGGTTCAGTTTATCAGAGAGCGCTGCTGCCCGGTCTCTGTCTAATGTGTAGTCCCTTAGTCGGGTATACGACACCCACGGGAAGAGTAGGGTTGGTGACAAAATGTATTAAATTCTTGATATTTTATAAAACTTGCTAATTGTATGTTTTTCTTTGATTTCAGGCGGCACGCTCCATATTTCGGACAACCAGACTACAGAGTTTATGAACTGAATAAGCGGTTACAACAGAGGACAGAGGTAGGTCCCTATTCCTAATCGTAATCCTAAAGTCCAATATTGTCGCGGAGAACCTAACGGGTAACCGGGGCTCCGGCTCGACGTGCAGGAGAAGGAACGGCGTCGTTTTAGTCAGTAAGAATCTGACACTCCCTCCCACCTCACCCAGGCGGGAGCAGTCATTCGATGATTTTCCCCCCTTAAAAAAAAATCCTAAATTACCAGTTTTTACCAACTTACAGTTACTTAGCGTGACGTAGCACCTAAGTCAAGGATTCTCAACCTTTTCTTGGTCAAGGACCACTTTTTAAAACTAGTGAGTAGGTATTAATTTCTTTCATGTGGTCAGTTGTAAAAAAAATTGTGAATTTTCGATTACTGAAATCAATTGCCCCTTCTAGTTGTCTTCTTTGACATAAGTTTAATTCGAGCTGCAACCATCTTATTTATTCGAAATACAAGACTAAACTCTGTCTTTCCTTTTATATTTCGCAAACTTTATTTCGTCTTTGGCGGATCACTGACCTAAAGTGGCCCCTTACTTGTACTGTCCTGTGTACTTATAGCTAAGTGAAAATCAAAATGACATAAAACTGTCAAACACCAAGCGGTCACCGGTGACCGCAACCTATTGTTCTATAATTGTGTCTTTAATGACGGTACTCGACGAGTTAAATATCAGCTATCTTAGCTTAAGGTTTCCTTAAATTTTAGATAAGGTTAATGAAAACGGATATAGGGTAGGTACTATTATAAATGCTTGGTTTTTTATCAAAATTGATTTGCCAATGAGAATTTTCTACTTTTTGGGAAGTCAGGTAAAAACGATGGTGCAATTCTACTTCTTTCTCTCGGGCCAGTGCAAATGATGCTTGGTTTTTGAGGTCCACATAATATCTCCTGGCAGACTCAACAGTTTCTCCATTACTCTGTTTTTTTTTTAAAGTGTGGAATTTCACTTGTGCCTCATTTCTTAATTTGAACAACAGTTTGATATTGTCAGTGATCCATGCAGTATGTAGTTTCCTATATGGCTACGCCTTCATACCTAAGAGCTTTGTTGCACAAAAACGGCTAAAATAGCCACATCGTTCACAGCATCTAATCAGCCGCTGTAGTCAAATGCCGTTTAGCGCTTGTCTACATGTAGAATAGAAAACCAAATTATATGGAATTGACGTAAACTTTGATACTTGTCAGTGTCATCCCCATACATTTTGATTTCTACTCTCTCTGTAGACAAGCGCTAAAGTGGCGTTTGGCTAAAGGCACTGGCACAGGCAAGTTCGCCTTAAATTTTGTCAATAAAGGTATTTTAGACGGAATCACGTTCAGTTCTGTAGCGAATTACGTTATTATGTATGTCAGTCAATTGTAAATCCGTAATTGGCTGTAAGAAAAGTTTTTTCTTTTATGGCATAAGCCGGTACACGACCAGGCGGATCACCTGATTGTAAGCAATCGGCGTCGCCAACCTGGAATACTAGTGGCGTTACAAGTGCGTTACCGGCCTTTTGGGGATTAGAAGTTTGAGGATCGTTGGGGATTCAGGGACATAGATGTTATGTGTAATGATTGAGAGCTGTAGATTTTGTGATAAATCTATATGTATATAAAAGAAAGTCGTGTTAGTTACACTATTTATAACTCAAGAGCGGCTAAATCCATTTAGATGGAAATTGGTGGTGAGATAGCTTAGAATCAGGATACTTTTATCCATTTTATTTTTACTTTTTATCGAAAATCACTAATGGGAACGGAAAAACAGGATTGCGCGTACGAAGTCGCGGGCAGAAGCTAGTTTATTTAAACTGTCAAACACCAAGCGGTCACCGGTGACCGCAACCTATTGTTCTATAATTGTGTCTACAAAACCGGTACTCGACGAGTTAATAAATAAAAAAAGGATGTTAACCTTCGATTTTTGACGAAAATAATAACAGTTATTAAAGTCAATTAAATGTAATTTTCGCACCAGGTAGATTGAACACTATGAACTTTAGAAAACTGGATAAATAACTCAATTTAATCATTATTAGTAGTAGTGAACTAACACGTCTTTACTACATAAATAATAAGGTTTAAATTAAAAATCGTACACCATAGTTTAGTTACCGATAATACGTTCTAGAGCCAACAAGCAGTTGTTTAAAATGATGGTGTTTCCGCCTACTGGAGGCGCTGATGTATGTTGCTTAAGCTTTTGACTGCCAATAGAAAACTGTTGAAAGCGAATCGGTCACCGGTGACCCCCACGGCGTTATGTATTAATAAGTATGAACTAATGTCCTAGTTATTAAATTGGGTAGAGTCCTGGGTCAAAAAAAAATACTTTGATTTTTCAGTACAATTAAATATTAAAAAATAGTTACACTTTCATTTATTAATTTGCCAATATACTTAATTTCCGATTTATTCTAGCATTTCTTTTAGATATAACTGTGCTATTTGACGCGAAAATATGATGACGTCATAAGATAGTATTTCGTACAAAATTCATAGAACTGTATCGTTTTTGACATTTCGATGAAAGTATTGAATTTGACTAGTTGTCAACTACCGTATTATTCGGACTATAAGCGCCATCTAGTGGCCACAATGAAAGCACTGATTTCTTGACACTACGGTTCTGTTCGATCAAAGTGATGCCACAACATCACGGTACACCGACGTGACACTGCTAAAGCGTTCCCAGTCATAGTATTGTGTATGTGTTGCATGCACTGTCTTGCAACTGTGCACAGTCTTGCAAGCGTTGCGCAGTCTTTTTCAAATGTTTGAAAGAAAGAAAAAGCATTTATTTGGTAAATGGCACACAAACAAAGATTATGAAAAATAAAGATACAGATACTTACATAAAAACATAGTAAAAAATCATCAAAATATAACATAATAATTTACATACAATACAAAACAGTTTCTCCTGCGCCCGTCGCCGAATTGGCGGAATTTCCAAAACTCACGAGACCGCAGCCGCGGTTGCGATTTTCGCCCGGTCTTTTAGATAGTCCTAGAGAGTAGAAGCGTCGCGGAGAACCTAACGAGTAACCGGGGCTCCGACTCGACGTGCAGGAGAAGGAACGGGGTGGTTTTTAGTCAGTAAGAGTCTGACACTAAGGCGAGAGCAGTCATTCGATGATTTTCCCCCCTTAAAAAAAAAGAGTAGAAGCGGTGATAAAATACATCCTAACAAAGAACTTGTACCAGGAGCACATTAATTCTAAAGAGTTTTTATTATCATTTCAGGACTCAGATAACCTGTGGTGGGACGCGTTCGCGACAGAGTTCTTCGAGGACGACGCGACGCTAACACTCACCTTCTGTTTAGAAGACGGACCTAAGAGATACAGTAAGTTCCCTTGTATTTTATGAATACCTGGTACTTGTGAAATACAAAAACGGGTTTTTTTCGATGGTGGTTGGAAATAGTTGCAAAAATAGTGTTTTGGATTTGAACTCGAATCGGTTGGATTGCATTTATTTATTTTTACAAATAGAACGGTACAAAAAACCAATTACACTACTCAATACATATTCAATTATAAGAAACAAAATATTGAAAAAAAAAAAATTTATTAGATACTATAGTTCATTCATCTCTTTCGCAAAACTTCAAGCATTCTGACAGAAATAATCTTCTTTCACTCGAAAACACGGTACACTCTGGCGCTGAATCCAAGAATGCATGGTCTTGGGTTCGTGTCCCAGGTTGAGTATAATGTGATAGGATAAGAGAAAGCATAGAATCTGCAATAATCTTGATTCTGGAAATTATAAAACACTTGATATCTAATGTAACATTGAGCCTTCTGTTTAGAAGACGGAACTACGAGATAGAGTAAGTTTCATTTTGTCTTTTTGGATAGAAAGAAAGAAAGGAAGGCACTTTTAAATAAAATATTGAAATATTAATAAATGTCGGTCTGTCGGTCAGTCATCTAGTTGGTCTATTTGCTCGTTTCAAGGTGTAGATTCCTATGGAGAAGAACGAGCAAGAAACTCAATATGTTACTCTTTTTCAAACAGGTTCACAATACAATTCTTGGTGACATTGTTTTGTTGGTTCAATTGGGTACTTTCATTAGTCAAAAATAAATTAGGTCGACTACTCAATACAATAAAATATTAAAAAATAATCACACTTTCATTAATCGATTTTATGACCAACTTAATTTTAGTAGTTTTCCAGTAAATTTTTAACTGTTTGACGCTATAAAAATCGTGACGTCACAATACACAGTCTCGTACAAAATTCATAGAACACTCTCGTTTTTGACAGTTCAAAAAAGTATTGAATTTGACTAGTTGGCAAGTACCCAATTATGTGAGATCAATGTAACACCTGCATTCCTGCATTTACTGCATTTACTGCATTATGCTGCGCTAAGCTGTGCTGACTGTAAATAAAAACTATGAAAATACTAATATACCTTTTTTATACTTCCAGCGATAGGCAGGACGCTGATACCTCGATACTTTCGCAGTATATATGAGGGAGGCGTCTCAGAACTGTACTACACGATGCGGCAGCCCAAGGAATCGTTTCACAACACGAGCATAACGTTGGACTGCGATCACTGTACCATGGTCACGCACCATGGGAAACCTATGTTCACTAAAGTAAGTAGAATTGTCATAAAATACAGAATTATCTAGTAAAAAGTTGTAGGTTTTTATAATAACTATGTATATCGTGAGACACGATGAATTAACTAATAAAAAACCAACTTCAAAAATCCAAAAACTAACAAACAAAAAGTCAAAAGTAAAAAGAAAAAAATGAGGTATTCCTCGTAGCGCTCCCGTTTTGAAGCGCTCCCGTTTTATTCCTCTAAATGCTCCCAAAAGGAGCGGTTTGAGGAACGATTAAAAATATTAAAATTTATTTCCTCGAAGCGCTCCCATGATTAACTTTCGGATAGAGATGGGACTTTACTAATTGAAATTATCGATAAGAACTAGGTAATAAGTATAACACATTGTTATAATATACAACTAGCGGCTCGTCCCCGCTTCGCACGGCTTTGGTAATTTTTTTTTTTTTGTTTTATTGTAAATCCTTTAGTTCACCATATAGATGAATTGCTTCCGTGACACATTCGCGCTACCTGCGATATGATCAACAAAATAAAACGGGAGCGCTTAGATGGGCGCGCTTCAAAACGGGAGCGCTACGAGGAATACCTCAAAAAAATTACTATCATTAGTCGACGCCATATAATAACAAAACATTTTGGAAATCGGTTCACAAATGGCGGAGTACTGCGCTAAAAACAAAAACAAAAAAACAATCAGCCGAACGTAGTACCTCCTCCTTATTTGAAGTCGGTAAAAATTGACTTCACGGTTGGCGCAGTGGCTGGGTAACCGGCTGCCGCGCGACGTGTACCGGGTTCGCCCGCACGTCACAACTCTTTGTGTGATCCACAGATTGTTGTTCCGGGTCTGGGTGTCATTGTGTATGTGAACTTGTATGTTTGTAAACGCACCTACGACACAGAAGAAAATCCTAGTGTGGGGCAATGTTGAAAAAAGAGAATTATGAGTTGCTCAAGTAAATATACTGAGAAAAACTACTAGTTTCGAGTCACAGAGGGACTGTTCCTCGTGAGCATTTGAGCGTTTCAGTATCCGGGCATAACTACCTTAATATTATGCAATTTGATAAGCATTATATCTGTAAAATGACTGTATAATCTTATATAAGTTAGCTAACGAGGTATTAGGATATAACATGTGATACAAAAAACTTCATTTATTTTAATTTCTTTCAGTTTTAAACATGAGATCTTAATTTTTACTAAATAAGGCCGATTTTTCAATCATCAGTTAATTCTTAACTGTAGAATAATATTGGTAGTTTTTAGTATGGAAGTTTTAATGGCGTTTAAATGTGGGAGAGCCATGCTTCGGCACGAATGGGCCGGCTCCACCGGAGTGATACCACGGCCGAACAGAAAACCGACGTGAAGCAACGCTTGCGTTGTGTTTCGTCGTGTGAGTGAGGTTACCGGAGGCCCAATTATCCTTAGTCTACAATAGGCGTGTCGACAGGGTAAAAAAAACAAAAATGTAATTAGTCCGTCATTAAAATCGCACGAAAATATCAGACACGTATTTTTTGTTTTATCAAATTAACAGAAGAATACGTAGTTATTCCGCATTAAAGTTAGGGAGTGGGGGGTGTTGACGTCACACTTACGGAGAAAGTGACGTCACGCGTCATTTTAACTCAAAATATCTACATGTTTTTTTGGATACGAGAAAAAAGAAAAAATACGTATCGAAGATTTTTAAAATATCTAAAAGACTGACAAAAAATTAAAAAATAGTCGCCATGCCTATTCCCGAATCTCCACCTATCCTTAAATTTCTAATCCCCAAAAGGCCGCTAACGCACTTGTAACGCCTCTGGTGTTCCGTGTGTCTATGGGTGGCGCCGATTGCTTACCATCAGGTGATCCGTGTACCTGTTTACCGGCATATCAATAAAAAACATGGTAGAATTGTGTACTTGCCAACTAGTCAAATTCAATACTTTTTTCGAACTGTCAAAAACGACAGTTTTCTATGAATTTTGTACGAGATTGTGTATTGTGACGTCACGATTTTTTGGCGTCAAAAGGCTTAGTTATTTCTTAAAAATTTGCTGCAAAAATATTAAAATAAATTTGGTTTAAAAACTAATGAATGAAAATGTGATTTTTTTTAAATATTTTATTGTATTGAATAGTGGAAATAATTTATTTTTGATTAAGTAAAGTATCCAAAATTTGTTAAAATGTATCTGGCGTTCGTTGATAATACTTTCAATTATAATAATAAGTTTACTTTAGACAATATGATAATGCATTTAACTCGTCGAGCACCGTCAATATAGACACAATGGGGTAGACGACTAATTTTTATTTTAATGTCCGTCTGGTAGATTATTTAAAAACATTAGACACGTATTTTTTATTTTCTTACGGAAACGAATAGTTTCGAAGATATATTGATTTGAAATGTCGCGTGACGTCACTTCTCAGTACATTTTATACTAAGAAACGACGTTTTAGCCCCCACTCCTAAACTTTGATTCGTTTTATCTAAGTATTGTTTTATTATACAACAAAATAAAAAAATACGTGTCTAATATTTTTTTATTACCTAAGTTACGGACTAATTATATTTTTAATTTTCATACCCTGTCATCATCCCCATT